GGTCTAGGCTGAGTTGGGAGAGAGGAGGATGCCGCCGGATGGGGCAGGAAAGTCGGAGCCGAAAGATGGGCGCCCCAGGGGTCCGGGGGCGGGAGGGGTGCGGAAGCCGCCGCTGCGACCCGGTGGCTGCGTCCCCGCTGCGCGCCCCGGCTGAGGCCCCGCCCCGCCCGGAGGCCCCGCCCCTGTGCAGGCTCCGCCCCCGTGCAGGCCCCGCGGGCAGGATTTGCGGAGAACCCACTTCAAAGGCTCCCAGGAAGCGCGAGCGAGCCCCAAAGGAAGCGGCGCAGCCTCTAATCCGGCTTTGGGGGTGGGGGAAGCCCCGCAATTATTGGGGGCCTTCCTCCCGCGCTACCCCCCCTTAAAATCCGGGAGCCCACATCTAAGTCCCTCTTCCCACCTCAAATCGCCTCATTTGGGGAGGGCGGGGTGAGTCTTTAGCAAAACTTTGCTCAGGCAGGTTCACCCCGAAACCTCACCTGAGAAGCTAAAAAGTCTCACCTTTGCGGCTGCAATTGAGGAACATGTTCTTTTGGAAAAGATGGGCCCCAGTAACCACATATGTGTGTGCATCCCACACACATTTACTGAGCACCTACTGTATGCCCAGTGCCACTGGGGATGGCAAGCTGGAACCAGAAGACCCTGCGAGGGCTCCGGTTTGTTCCAGGGGGAAACTATTTGGCCTAGGGGAGCCCAGCCGGCTTTTCAGAAGTGACTTTTGATTGTGAAGGTGGCAACAGCTAAGATTTAACGCACATTCACCGTGTGCCAGACACTGTGCGAAGGGCTTTAGATGCCTGATCTCATTTAATCCCAGCCGCAGCCCCGGAGGGTGGAAGCCACTATTACGCTCATTTTACAGGCCAAGTAGCTGAGGTCACACAGCTCCACTAAGGCTCCACAACTGGTTACACGGTAGAATCCAGGTCTGCTGGACCCATCATTCATTCATTAATTCATTAATTCACCTAATCTGTTTCCGGCGCACACTATAGACCAGTCACTCTCCTGCCCTTTGGGCCTCTGTTCTTCGCTACACCAAGATAGGTCTTGAAGAATGAGCAGGGGTTGCCCATACAGAAAGGGCACTGAGCCAGGGTGCAGCTTGGACAAGGGCTGCAGGCCTGAAAACACATGGCATCCTCAAAAGTGAGCAGCAGATGATGGGGCTCTGGGAGAGACACACTGAATTTTTTTTTTTTTTTGAGACAGTCTCTCTCTGTTGCCCGGGCTAGAGTGCCGTAGAGTCAGCCTAGCTCACAGCAACCTCAAACTCCTGGGCTCAAGCTATCCTCCTACCTCAGCCTCCCTAGTAGCTGGGACTACAGGCATGTGCCACCATGCCTGGCTAATTTTTTCAATTTTTGGTAGAGACGGGGTCTTGCTCTTGCTCAGGCTGGTCTCAAACTCCTGAGCTCAAATGATCTGCCCGCCTTGGCCTCCCAGAACACTAGGATTACAGGCGTGAGCCACCATGCCCGGCCACACTTAACTTTTTAGTTTCACCTCTGCCGTGTACGAGTCGTGTAACTTTAGTCACGTCGGTTCTTTCTGACCTCCACTTTTTTCCTCTGCAAAAATGGAGGCAATATTAGTTTTTCCATCCATGGCTGGTAGGGGGATTAAATGAGTTCACATAGATGAGGGGACTGATTTAGAATGTGAGCATCACATGTAGCATCTATTGAACCGCTCCTGTGTGCGGGGCACTGTTCTGGCTGGTGCAGAAATGCAAAGGGGTGTCAGATTCATCCCCTACCCTGGGAGCTTTGCGGTCTAGTTGAGAAGACAGTTCACAGGCTCTGAAAGACAAGGATGAGCTCAGTTGGCTAAGACCAGGGTCCTGGTGGGCATGTAGCCTGGGGACTTCAGGGGTTCTGGGGAGGGCCTGATCCCTGGGGGCTTCCCCGAAGAGATAGTATTTAGATGACGTGAAGACCCCGGCTGCAGAGAGTGGGCACATCATTCCAGTGTGGGGGACTGTTCTCTGGGTTCTGTGGGATTCAGAGGCGGTGGGTGAGAGGTGAGCGGTGAGGGTGTGTGCCGGTTCCAGACTGCCTGGGCCAGAGTCCCAGCTCCAACTTTTATGAGCAAGTCCACTCCTCGGTGCCCACCATAGGGCGCTGTCTAGAGACTAAGAGGTCAGTGTAGGCGAAGTGCTTAGAAGCAGGCCTGGCACATGGCAAGCACTTTATAAGTGTTGGCTACAATTATTTTTTCTGACATTCTTGGCTAAAGGCAGGTGGGGCGGGTGAAGCTATGGCTTCAACAGTCATCTTTGGCGTCTGCTCGCCCTTGGCCCCAGCCATGTCCTAGCAAAGTTGGGCACCTGGGCGGCCTGGTGGGCTGGAGGTGGGGATTAGCAGGTGAGGCAGCCACACACAAACCCACACTCAGCTTCCACCTGCCTGTACTGGATGTCTTGCCTGCCGCAGTGGCACTCAGGCCCTGAGGGCTCCTTGGGGCCTTTATGGGGTAATTCCATCTCCATTAGGGCTGATTATGTCACTATAAATACCATGTTTCAGTGCCGCTTTGTAAGACTCACTGAAGAACGTTCCACCTTAGCATCCAGTCACCCAGAGCGGGAAGGACTCTGAATCAGGACAGGAAAAGAGGGAAGGGCGTGTCACCAGGTGGGTGACTAAAGACCAGGGAACTGTCCTCCACTCCTGCCACCTCATATACCACTCCTTCCCACAGGCCTGTGCTCACGTCACTTGCTGCAGGTGAGTGCTGTTTTGTGGTCTTGGCCCCCAGCTTGGGCACATATGGCCAGGCATATGACTCACAGCCATCAGGGCCTGCCTGCACCCCCACCATGTGCTTGAGTCCACCCTTTGGGGGCCACACATGGAAACCACATTTGCCACCTGAAGGACCAACTAACGCTGCATACAGAGACTTTCATGCAACACAGAACTTGCCAACACCGTGAATTCATTAGTTCGGTGAACTCATTAGTTCATTCATTCTGCACAGGTTTGCTGAGTGCCTATTGTGTATCAGGCAAACATCCCTGTCCTCCTGGAGTGTATCTTCCTGTGACACATCAAATATATGGATCTTGCAAATGACATGTAACACACATGTACATGTAACACACATGTACGTGTAACACACATGTACAAATATATGGATCTTGCAAATGACATGTAACACACATGTACAGGACTCCCTGTCCTCCTGGAGTGTATCTTCCTGTGACACATCGAGTATACGGATCCTGCAAATGACATGTAACATACATGTACAACCAGGGTCTTCCATACAACCTACATGGAGTCTTACACTCAACACACCACATGCTCTGCCATCCAAGATGCAACTTCCTCTTGCTCAATTGCGTGTGACCCAGTAACAGCTGAGATTTGATGAGTGCTTCCTGTAGTCCCGGCCTAAGTGGTTTACATGTATGACCTTATTTGATTTTCATAATAACTTTCCAATGTAGGTTTTTACATCTGCCCAATGAGCAAACTGAGGCTCAGAGAAGTGAAATAACTTGTCCAGAAACTCACAGGCTGACTTCACAACCACTGTGAAGGATGGCACACTCACACACACACATATTCATACACAAATCCTCTCACATTCATACACACACACACACACACACATCAACACTCTCATGTCTATACACACATGCACAAACACGGTCCCCCACACTCACACATGCATTCCCTCCCATGGGCACTTGCACCCCACTCTCAGAAGGCCAGGGCTCCCTCCCATCATCTTGGTCAAAGGCTTTAATTAACCCCAACACCTGTAATTAACCCTTCCTCTCCTCCTCCAGGGGAGATGTCTGGACCCGCTTCCCAAGGGCAAGCACCAAGGCTTCCCAAGGGCAAGCACCAAGGCCGAGAGGCCAAGATGTCCACATCTGGCAGGGAGGACCCAGGTCCCTGAGTGAGCAGGTCCAGGGGAGTGGAGGGGAGGATGGGGTCAGAGAGGAGGCGGGCCTAGGAGGCCGGGGGCTCCCAGGAAATCAGGCCTGCCACAGCTGCTCCTCCTGGACTGGCCACATGGCGATTGGGCAACAGGCAGCCGTGGGTGGCTGGGCAAGCCAGAGAGACAATATTTCCCGTTTGTTTTACTAACACTGGCCATTTCCGTCAGGAGGGAAGATGAGCTCACGTCTGAGGAACCTTTGGGAAGAGGCCCTGTGAAGGAGCAGGTGGGAGGCAGGTGTCCTCCAAAGTGTCAAGACATACCAAATTATTCTGCCATGCCAGGGTCAGGGGCTAGGGGGGATGACATGCACAGTGGCCCCTTGCCCACCCTTCCCCAGTATGGAGCAGTGGTTACAGCAGAAACCACCAGGATTCAAACCCTGCCTCTACCACCGGTGAGCTGTGCAACCTTTGTGCGTGCTGTTTGAGGTCTTGGAGCCTCTGTTTCCTCTTCTGTAAAATGGGGATAATGACACCTGCCTCTCAGATGAGAATTAGATGAGATACTGTATGTCTGACCCCTTCCTAGAGATGGCTGCTCTTGGATCACAGTTGGCTTAGAGGTTTCTGGACCCGGATGCTGTCCTTGACCATCAGGATTTGGCACACCTATCAGAGGTCCCAGGAGCAGGGGCCTGTCTCTTCCGGGCTCCTCACCCAGGCCTGCTGCTAAGGAGGCAACTGCTTCTTGGACCCCCAACCCATTCAGGCGCAGGCCTGCAGGCCAACGTTGAGCTCAGTCTGGGAGGGCAAAGAGTGAGAGTGGGGATGGCTCAGCCCAAAAGCATCCCCACTTGTGGGTGAGGATCCCAGGCTCAGAGGTCCCCAGGGAATAACCCGTAGGGGCGCTGGCACTTTGAGGTGCTCAAACTCGGGAGGGCCCTGGGGGCGCCTGTGAGTCCAGAGGGCCCAAGGTCCTTCCCAAACCCCACCGGACTTCCCCTCCCTCCCCTCCGGGAGCCAGCCCGGCCCCTTTAAAGACATTCCTGAGGGCGTGGCTTCGGTGACGTCAGCGCGGGGCATGAATGAACAGGAGCCGGTTCTCACCCAACTTCCATTAAGGACTCGGGCGGGAGGGGCAGAAGTTGCGCGCGGGCCGGCGGGCAGCAACGGAACACCGAGGCCAGCGTGCGGGCGTGCGGGCGTGCGTGCGGGCGTGCGGGCGTGCGGGAGCCGGGCGCCGGGCTTCGAACCGAGAGCGAGGGGCGCGGCATGGAGCGCCGGGCAGCCGGCGCCTGGCTCGCCCTGCTGTGGGGCTGCGCGCTGGCCGCGGCCGCGGCGGCTCAGGGCAAGGAAGGTGAGTGCGCGCGGCGGCCGCCCGGGCCCGTCCCAGCCGGGCCGCCCGACCCGGGACCCCCTGCCTCCCCGAGCCTGGCGCGCCTGGACGCGCGCAACTTTGGAAACCGCCCGGTCCAGGCGCGCTGGGGTCGGACGAATCTGGGACACCCGCCCGGGGGTATGGGAGCTCCAGAGACGACTAAGGGATTTCGGCTCCGGTGCGCGGGGCTCGGAGGCCGCAGAGAAGGGGACGCGGCGCTCGCGGACGCCACGCGGTTGCAGCCCCGACAGCGGCTCCGGGATCGCATCCCGGCGGGGGACGTGGGGGGGGGTCCCTTGGAGAAAGGGGTTCTGGGGTGCTTTCCGTGGGTTCAGCGTCTTAGCGACCTGAACTCAGTAATTCACTTGCCCAAGTTTTGCAGAGAAGGTGTTTCTGCGGAGGCCCCGCATTTGGGGGAGGAGGCTCTTCGGTGTGCAGGGAGCCCCCTGCCGAAGCTCCTGCTCCCGGAGATTTTCTCCACGCCCCCCTTTGCCTCCCGTCCCCGGGGAGAGCGTGGCGCGAGGCTCGGGCCGGTCCCTGCCCACGCGCGCCTGTCGCCTTCCCCAGCCGCACTCCCGGGCTCGGGGCAGGTTAGGCGCCGCGAGTGCGGACAGGAAGTCCCAAAGTCGAGCGTTCTGAGCAAGGGCTGACTCAGAACGAGGAAATGCGGCAGGTGGGGGCGCGGCCTCCCGAGGTGTGGAGCCGTCACCCCAGGGCCACCAGGAGCCGGGGCACCCCGGGGGTGGGGGACTGAATCACCCTCCCCCGCCCAGCGTTCCCGGAGCCGCGCTGGGCGAGGGGCCGCAGACTTTGCTCAGGGCGGGGCGGGTGTGTGGCTGGGGGCGTCGTCCCGCAGCTAGGGGCGCGGGGAGGATGGGGGCTCCTGCCCCTGGCCGAGCCCTCCCTGCCCGTCCAGCTGAGGCCGGCTTCAGTTTCCAGCGGGGAGAACACGCTTTCCCCGGCTTCCGCAGGCTCCACGCAGGGGGAGCGAAGGAAACCCTGGGTGGGTGAGAAGTTTCCTTGAACCGTGATTTCTTTTTCCGCCTCCTAAACTGGTCGGAGGTGTTGCGAGTCCGTGTTGGGAGGAAAAGAGGCCAGAGCGGGGACCTGGCGAGGCGGAGGGTGTTGTTGGGGTGGCATCCTGTCCCAGGCCCTGGAGCACACAGGCCCTCCGGTCCCAACCCGCAGCTCTGGTTGCAGGGAGGAGCGCATGGCTGGGGTTTCTGCGACCCTTCATGCCACCCCCCAACTTTTGGTCCTCCCCCTTCCTGTGGGGGACTGTGGTTGGAGAGAAGCGGAGAGACAGCTGGAATCGCTGCAAGCCTTTCTCCGAGGCTGCCCGCAGCGGGTGGGGGATTAGGCGGCTGCTTTGCTGCTGCAGCCCCAGCCGCCAGCCCGCAAGCCTGGAGCTGCCTCGTCCCAGTGTCCCCATGTCCATCTCTCCCCAGCCAGTGCGATTAGCCCAGACCCCCCCCCCCTCCATGGGATGGGAGAGGAAAGGCTGTGTACGGGGTAGGGGAGCATTTTTGCTTAGGCTCCAAAAGTCCCTGTGACTGACCGCAGGGGAAGTGTGCCTGGATGGGGGTGGCAGTGGCAGTGATGGCCCAGCTGGCAGCTGCTGGTTTCAGCTCCCGGGGTGTGTGGCTGGATGTGGTGGTCTGCCTGCGGGTGGGGTGGGTGGCAGATAGGACACACATGGCCTTTCTACCCTTAACCTGGGTTGCTGCAAACTTCTCTTCTCCTTTTCCGCCCCCGCTCCCCCCAGCTGTATTTGGAGACCCAGGTGGAGGCTGTCAGGTCCTCAGCAGCTACTGAGTCTGCCCTGTTTTTACTAAGGGGTAAACTGAGGGAGGCCTGAGCCCTCACCAGCCAAGGCCCTCAGCACAGAGAGGGTCGGACCTGAGCATCTGGCTTCCTGGGCTGCCAGAGTCAAGGGCCCCTGCCTTGTGATGGGCTTCATGGAGGATTTGGGGAGGCAGGCATGCCTGGGCAGGGTGTGGGGGACGAGCATGGGGTGCTGAGCTGGGGTGCTGCTGGGGGCGGACAGTGCCAGGAGGCCTGGGAAGTCCTTGGCTGCTCCATTTTGCAAAGGCCCAACCTTCCCTGTCCCTTCCCTTTTTCTGTCTTCATGGTTCCACCCCCCCACCCAGTCCCCACCTGCCCTTTTTTTGGGCATTAGCTAGTTTTGGTTCAAGAGGGGTGGGGGAGCAGGGAGGTGACAATAACGAGTGGGTGGTAGTCTTCCATCTGTGGCAGAAGCTGCAAAGCGATGTGGAGCCACAGAGATGACATTTATGATAGAACTTCAGGCAAAGAAGGAGGATTTTTCCAGGGCTGGGCTGGTGAGGGGACAGAGGGCTCATGCACAGGCCTCGTCTTGCACAGGCCTCGCAGTGCAGCCGTAGGGGCATCTGAGGGCTCCCAGGCTCCTACCCCTCTCAGGGAAGCAGGAGCCTCTGTCCCTGGGAGAACTCGGGGAAAGAGCCGCACCCGCTTCGGGGCGGAGGGACCAGGGCTGGGCGCCTCCTGTTCCTGGTGGTTGGTTCTAGGGAATTTCCCGGGGCGGGGGCCGGGGCTGGAAGCCCCCGGGGGAGGCTCCTTCCTGCGTGAGGGCTCTTTTCTTCTCAGATTGAGCCCTGTGCTCCTTCTAGAGCCAAGCCCAGGCTGGAAGGGGAGGGCCCCCTCTGGAGGGCTTGGGGGAAACCCTCCATGCCAGGTTAACCCTTCAGAGCCAGAGGGACGAGCCCCTCTTGGGGGCACAGCCCACAGCTTCCTGCCACCCCGCCTGTCCCCCCCAGGGGCGTGTGTGCAGGACTGTGAGGAACACTCACCTTTGGCCTCCTACCCACCCTGCTGAAGCCAGGAGCCTCCAGACTCCTTCCTGTGTAGCTGGAACATTCCATGTACTAGTGGGGTTACTGATTTTTCCAAGCTGGGGCCCGGGGCATGTCTGAACAAATCCCTGCCCCCCACACCCAGCCACCTCCCCTATCCCCACAGCTTCTGCCACAGCTTCTCCGTGCCATGTTGGATTTCCTCTTCCCTGTCTGGGCAGCTGGGCCCTTCCTAGAGAGATTTGGCCCAGGTCGGCGGTCAGGGCAGCAGCGCCTCACACCAGGCTGGGGCCTTCAGCCCAGGGAGGAAGGCCATCTAAGCCCGGGAGAGGGCTTCTAAGACCACTTTCAGAGCCCACCTCCACGTCCCTAAACCAGGCCATCCATCCCTGCTCCCAACCTGCCTGGAGCTTAGCCTCGACTCTGCCTGGCCTTGAGGGGTGCTGCTGCTTGGCGTCAGATCCCTCATGCTCCAGGGCGCAAAGGAAGCGGTTACTTGGTCCCTTCCCTCTCCACCTGGGATTTTATCCTCCAAATCTGGGGACCTTGCATAGGTTCTATGCCTCAGTTTCCCCACTCTCCTTCCCCTACAGGGAAAGGAGCACTTATTGGCAACTACCTAGACTTTGCTTGCAAATGGAGGAGGGGCAGAACCTGTAGCCACTGCAGGAGCCGGGCAGAGGACCAGAAGTGGACCCATGGGAGGTGCCCGAGGGCAGAGCAAGGTCTAGGGAAGCCCCTGGCAGTGTGTCCCTCCGCCAGGCTCCAGATGGCTCTCTGAGGACTTTGTGGTCCTGGCACCTGGTCCCTCTGGGCCTGGAAAGTCCCCTGCAAGGGTTTCCGTTCCTGGTTTCCCAGGAATCCCTGGCACACCTGGCAGGGCAGTGGCCAGGGTGTGAGGGCAGGGGGCAGTGGGAGCGACTTTCCCAGGGAGGGGACCTCGCCAGCTGTGTGTATCTTTGGGCCCCTCTGAGAGGCCCCCATGGGTTCAGGGCTGTATCCTGCCTGCTCTGTGGCTTTTGTGGTAGGAAGATCAGTTTCCAGATGCCCCCCCTCCCCCTCCCCTGGAGCTGTTCCCACCTGTTAGCAGCACTCTCTTCTTGGAGCGTCCAAGACACATGTGTACATACATGTACATATGTGCGTGCTGCATGGCCCGAGCAGGGGTGGGGAGTTCCATGCTGGGGGGATGGTGCAGAAGCAGATGCCAGCATCCCTGGGCCACCATCCCCAAGGCCCATGTGTGTGTGAAGGTGCTGTCAAGAGGCCTTGTTCAAGGAAGCAGACGGGGCAGTGTGCTGTCACTTAATACCCCCGCTCGCCCCAGCACTCTGCCCAGCTGCTGTTCTCCCGCTGGGCTGAGCTCCCGCCTGCCCTGCCCAGCTGGGGGCTGACCGAGGGGGGCGGCGTGGCGGGAGACAAGAGGCCCAGTCCTGACCTCAACCTGCTGCCTGGCTCTGACTGGGTCCCACGCCTTCTCTGGGCCTCTGTTTCCCTATTTGTGGATTGATGGTTTTCTTGGCTGTGGTGACCCTGTGCAGCCAGGTCTCTGTCTGAGAGCTGAGAAGGCCATCAAGGCCTCTTGGTGTTCCGGGAGGGGCTCCCACCATTTCTGCCATGGTCTGACTCCTGGAGACACCCCCAGCTCACGTGGCCCCTTCCCATCTCTCTTCCAGTTGTACTGTTGGACTTCGCTGCAGCTAAGGGGGAGCTCGGCTGGCTCACAAACCCGTATGGCAGAGGGGTACGTAAGCTGTCAGGGTGGGGGCGGGGTGGGAATGGGGCAGTTGGTCCCCTGTGTGGATGAGGAAACTGAGACCCAGGGAGCATGGGGCCTGGCTTTGATCCTGCAGCTTAGCCAGGGTTCCCCCTGGGACTGGCTGGGGGTGGGAAGGTGGGGAGGGCTGAGAGGCAGGGGGAGCTGGGGGGGACGGCTGGAGGCCCTGGCAGAGTGGGAGCCTCGGCGCCCCAGAAGGGCCAATGGTCACAGGGACCTTCTGGCTCCCTCCACCCACCTCTTGGGAGGAAAGGGGTTAAAAGACTCCCCCACCCTGAGGTCTCAGCCTAGGAGGTGAGGGATGAAGGAGACACAGGACACAGGGAGGCCTGATCAAGTTCCTTCCTGCTGGGCCCCTCTCCCACTGCCCAGCTGTTGCTCCCCTTCCTGCTCCTTCCCACCCAGGGCTCCTCTCCTCCGACTGCCCTGCTGTGGCCAGGGCTGGTGGGCAGGGCCCTGGGGTCCTTCCCCACCTCTGCAGGTGACTGCTGTGTGGTCTTGGAGAAGATACTGCTGCTCTCTGGGCTCGGTTTCCCCCTTTGTCCAATGGGTCCTGGCTGACTTTGTCCTGGGGTCCTGAACTGGGGAGAGGGGTGTCTCCAGGGGCTACTTGGAATCCATAGCTGGCCAGATCTGTGTGAGCCAGGTGCCTGTTCCTGGTCACTCTAGCTCTGGGCAGGCCTGGGGTGTAGCTCTGAGCGGATTTCTAGGATCCTGGAATGTCCAGCTGGGAGGGAACACAGATTACCTAATCCAACCCAGTCATTACACAGAGTGGGAAACTGAGGCCCAAGGGCATGCAGGGCTCTGGCCAGTGCCACACAGTGCAGTGCAGGCCTCTCTCCCCTTCCCTTCTGCGTTCATTCATTCAACAAATACTTCTCTGAGCGTCTGCTCTGTTCCAGATGGGCCCTGGGGATACAGAGGCGAACTAGATGCAGTCCCTGCCCGAGGAGCTCGGAATCTAGTGTGGGAGCCAGACGGAGGTGTCCCCTGTGCCATTTGCTATGTTTGCGGGGACCTGAGACTGGGAGCCAGAGGGGGACACTTGGCCCAACCATGGCCCCACCTGGGAAGTCTTTCCTGAGAAGGCCGAGCTGTGTTCTGAGGGAAGAACACAGGTTGATCTGCTCCAAAGCCAGATTCTGAATGCTGGAGGATCAGCCGTTGTTTTTGAGTTAACTCTTCCCCTGCCATTCACAGGCGTATTGACACTCGCACGCACGGTGAATAATGACAGTGATGATACCACTGCCATATGGCTGTTACTTCCTGCCAACCACTGTGCTCGGCATTTGTAGACAGTCTGTCATTCATCCTCACAGCAATTCTGTGAGGCAGGGGATCTTGCCCCCATTGTACAGATGGGGACATTGAGGCTCAGAGAGCTTAAGTGACCCTGCTGAGGTCACACAGAGCCCCCAGACTCCATCCCTTTTTAATATTGAGGTTTGGACGTTGGGGCCAGAAAGACTAGGGGACAGATCCTGCCTCAGTTGGACCTCTCCGGGCCTCAGTTTCCTTCTGTGCAGAATGGGGAGAGCATGAACTGCAATGCATCTTCCTGATGCCCTGCTCTGCCACCCGGGCCTCAGTTTCCCCCAGGGCACCTGCCCACACTGACCTGTGGTTTCCCCGCACAGTGGGACCTGATGCAGAACATCATGAACGACATGCCCATCTACATGTACACCGTGTGCAACGTGGTGTCTGGCGACCAGGACAACTGGCTCCGCACCAACTGGGTGTACCGCGGCGAGGCCGAGCGCATCTTCATCGAGCTCAAGTTCACCGTGCGCGACTGCAACAGCTTCCCCGGCGGTGCCAGCTCCTGCAAGGAGACCTTCAACCTCTACTACGCCGAGTCGGACGTGGACTACGGCACCAACTTCCAGAAGCGCCAGTTCACCAAGATCGACACCATCGCGCCGGACGAGATCACCGTGAGCGGTGACTTCGAGGCGCGCCACGTGAAGCTGAACGTGGAGGAGCGCTCCGTGGGGCCGCTCACCCGCAAGGGCTTCTACCTGGCCTTCCAGGACATCGGCGCCTGCGTGGCGCTGCTCTCCGTCCGCGTCTACTACAAGAAGTGCCCCGAGCTGCTGCAGGGGCTGGCCCACTTCCCGGAGACCATCGCCGGCTCGGACGCGCCCTCCCTGGCCACCGTGGCTGGCACCTGCGTGGACCATGCCGTGGTGCCCCCCGGGGGGGAGGAGCCCCGCATGCACTGTGCGGTGGACGGCGAGTGGCTGGTGCCCATCGGGCAGTGCCTGTGCCAGGCGGGCTACGAGAAGGTGGAGGACGCCTGCCAGGGTGAGTGACAGTTCCAGGTGGCAGGGAAGGGGGTCTGGGGCGGGAGGCCGCATTCCTGGGTTCCAGTCTCAGCTCTGGGACCGTGGGGTGGGCAAGCTCATCCTGCTCTGACATGCAGTGGTTCTGTGAAGGGCCATCATAGCCTTCCTGGGCATCAGCCTCCTTATTTACGACTGGACCCGCTCATTCATCCAGAAAAGTGAGAGACAGTGTAGTGTGGAGGCGGAACTTGAGGACCCTGCGACAAGAATGCCTGAATTCAGCTCCCACCTCTGCATTTAGCTGTGTGACTTTAGGCCCTTTCCTTAGCCTCTCTGAGCCTGGGTTTGCTCATCTGTGAAATGAAGATGATCATAGCGTCCGTCTCATAGGGTGGTTGTGATAATCAAATGACTTAATGCTTGTGAAATGCTTAGGTCAGTGCCTGACACATAGTACTTTTAAGTGTAGCTGTTATTTTTGATTCATCCCACGGATGCATCCTGAGTATCTAATGTGCCCCAGCACTGTGGACCCCGTGGTATAGTCCCAGGAGCTAGTTTCATTTCTGTTAGCTCACTGTGTGCCCTTAGGCAAGTCACTTAACCTCTCTGGGCCTCAGACTCTTTTGCACGTGCAGGTGAATGAATCGGGACCGGGGTTTTCGTCACCTGGGGAGTACTTTTGAAAAATGCCTGCGTTGGGGGAGAGGTGGAGGGAGGCTCAGGGCCCGGCCCACTTTGCTGATCCAGATTCTTCCGTCGGGGCTTCTGTTGATGACACACTGAGCCCGGAGAAGGGGCGGGTTAAGTCAGAATGGGGAATGGGGCCTGGGCCTGGCGGGGAGGCCGCGGCTTGGTGCGGCCAGGGCCTGTGGCAGCGGAAATCTCCACAACAACGTGGAGTTTTCAGTGGGTGACTTTTTCTGGAAATGGCCGTGGGGCAGGGCATTTGTGGAATGCGGCCGACCTTTGGAAGGCCAGCTCGTCCCTCTCTCTGGGAGCTTCTTTGCTGAGATAAGCGGGGCGTTGAGAAATTGGAGGGTTGGTCTCTGCGGTTGCACACGCCCGCCGGGCAGCCTTGGGTGAGTCCCAGCTCATCTCTGAGGTTTCCTGTGAGTGAAATGAGAAGATTCAACGGCAGCAGACTTTACACTTGGATTTTAGCCGGGGATCCTGCAACCCACGACGGGGTTGAGGTGTTGGAGGACCCTGAAGCCCTTGCCAGTGGGCCCCACTTGCCTCCCACAGCGAATCCTCAGAGCCCTGCTTAACACAGTCTGGAAACCCCTGGATGAGATGTTCCCTAAGAGGCTTCCTGGCCGTAAGCCTGTGGTGTGGTCTCTGCTCTGACCCTTCCCGTCGACCCGTATCCCCCCAGCCCCCCTGTGCCGAGTGAGCCCCTTCCCCGGGGGGCCCCTGCTGTAGGTGACCTCGAACAAACGCACACTCCCAGTTTCAGACAATGACCGCGGGGTGGGGGGGCGAGGCAGCCCAGTGGGGCGAGCAGGCCCCTCCCACATGACATCCTCGCACAAGAATGCGGGGGTGGGGGTGAGGGGCAGCTGAAAACTTTCCACAGGCTGGTGATTCAGGCCGTGCAGAGATAAGTGGACGGTTGGAATGGGGGGGTCTCTCCAGGAAGGGGGGCAGCCTTCCTCCTCTGGAGTGGGGGTCAGGGTTCTGGCAGGCTTTGTGTGCAGAGGGCTGAGCAGTCCCCTCTTGGGAAGACTCAGCCCAGCAGGGGGACTAGTTTCTGAGAGCGAAACTCCTCACTAAGCTAGCGGGACCCTCTCAATTGCCAGCCTCCCATTTTCTGCCCTGAGTTTTCCTCCTGGGGACCCCCCGCCCAAATTCCTTTCAGTGTGGCTGGGCGCTGGTGTGTGAGATGCTGGGACCCCCAGCCTGGCTAGTCGTTATGCCCCCTGACCGTGATGCTGATGCAGGTGATGACAGCACTGCCATGGACAGTGCTTTCCCGGGGCACTGAGCTGAGCAAGTGCTTTATCCAGACACTCTTGCTGAACCCATGGCACTTTCCTTTGAGGCAGGGACTGTTACCATCCCATTTAACAGAGGAAGATACTGAGGTTCAGAGAGGTGAAGAGGCTTGCCTGGATTCTCACAGCTAGGATGGGATTGCATCAGAATTTTATTTTATTTTTTTAGAGACAGCGTCACTCTGTCACCCAGGCTGGAGTGCCATGATGTGATCTAAGCTCACTGCAATCTCGAACGCCTGGGCCCAAGCATGCGTCGGGATTTGAATCCAGAGGGTGCAGCGGCGCCCGGGCTGCAGGATGGGTCAGGAAATGGGGCGGGAAATGACCAGTTCCTTTGGAATCCCTGACTCAGCTCCTGGCCCTGGGCTGGGCTCTCTGGGCAGCCCTGGGATGGCAGGTCTCGCTGCAGGGTGTTTGGGCTCTGTCAGAGGTAGGGGTGGGTGGGAGACCATTGCTGGCCGCGTTGAGGGAGACCTGGAGGGAGGTGCAGGGTTTGTCAGAGACCCAGATTCTCCCACTGGGGCTGCTATTGATGACGAACTGAATCCAGAGAGGGGCCAGGTTACCCTGAGGTCACCCAGCACCTTGTCCGGGTCATTCCCAGAGTTCGTCTGTTTCTCTTCAGGGTTCTTTCCCCTGGAAGCTTGGGGCTCAGGAAAGAGTTAAGCGGGCAGCGGAAGGGAGGCACCTCCCAGGTGCTGTGCTGGACAGGTGGGCACGCTGCCCGGAGAGCTCCCGTGAGCTATGTCAGGAATGAGCCAGCTTCCCTCTGGCCCCCAGCCCACCCCCCGGGCCTGCCCGGGGGACAGTGGAGTCACTCAGGCTGACCGTCGTCCCCCCGGGGGCTGCTTTGTCTCCCTGCTTGTCTCTGCTTCCTGCGCTGGCATTGGCAGCCGAGCTGGCGGGGCCCCGGCTGGCGCCTGGGCCAGGGGATAGCTGGCCAGGTGAGCAGGTGGCCGGCGGCCTTGGCCAGAGGCTGGGCCCAGCACCTGGGAGGCCAGAGCTGGAGGTGGGGGATGTGGGAGTGGGGCAGGAATGCCCTCCCAAAGGTTCTTGCTCCCTCGGGGGCCCAGCTCCTTATGGACATCCCCTCCCTGCTCTAGTTTCATGAACCCCAGGTCACAGGGACACCCCGTTCCAGGTACCATGCTACACGTTTCATAAGCGGGGTTTCCTTTACTCCTCACAAACAACCCAGAGAGGATGAGGACTTTCCCCCATTTTACAGATGTGGAAACTGGGGCCCAGAGAGGAAACAGTGATCAATGACAAAAGAATCAGGACCTGGCCCGAGGAGGGCAGCGTCCTGTCCCCAGTTGCCCCTGGTTGTGTGTGTCCTTCCACCCATGAGCTGTGTGATGCTGCAAGTCCGGCTGGGCCCCATCCCCCTCACCTGTGAAACAAGTGGGTTGGACCAGTGTCTCCAAAGGACCTTGTGCCCAGAGTCTACGTCCTGTCACTTTCTGCTAGGGCTCGATCCGAGAACCTGGCAAGCTGTTGACCGTGTGACTCACACATACGGCAAGGAGGGGACCCCAGTGCTGGCATCGGAGCCCAGTGCTGGCATGACCTAGCCCAGGGCCCATAGCTGGCGGGGAAGCGTCCCCTGGGCAGGGGGTGGCCCTGGCTAAGGTGGTCTCTAGGCAGGGCGGCCTTGGGCTGTGGCAGGGGCAGCTGGCAGGTTTCCAACCTTGTCGGGACATGGCTGATTCCCAGGCCGGTGGCCCTGTGAGCTGTTGACTGTGGCTCTCAGGCTTGTCCCCTCCCTGGGGAGTGCCACCGGGCCCCATTTCTATGGTGCTTCCTCTGTCTTGCCGGGTGGGGGGGACCACAGTGGCAGCACCCCCCGGGTGGCGGCTTTGACCACTGTGCCCTGCCTGCCCCGCCCTCCGCTCACACTGGGGAGACCCAGGTGCTGGCAGCTCTGCCGGGCGGGCACCGGCCCCTCCCTGCCTCGCCGGAGGTAAGTGGGTCCCCAGAACGGAAGGAAGGAGGCCAGGAAAGCAAACAGAAGATAAAAGGCTGGTGCTAGGCAGGGAGCGGGAGGGGCTGGCAGGGAGCTGTGCTTATCGTGGCTCGCTGGAGGAATGTGCCCGCAGATAATTCCCCGGGGTGTGTGAGAGGAACAGGGTGCTGGCAGCAGTCGGCCGGCCGTGGGGATGGGCCGCCCTTCTGCATGGGCGACAGGGCTTGCTGTGGAGCAAGAAGCCACCGGGCTGGGAGTTATCAGTTCCCTCATTGGCTGGGTCAATAGTTCACAGGCTGCTGTTCGCTGGCAGTCAGGGCTGGGAGACACAATCCTGTCTACACATCCTTGGGCTCAGGTGGTACCTGCGGTCGCTGGGCCACATCCTTGGGCTCAGGTGGTACCTGCGGTTGCTGGGCCGGGCTTTAGGGAGGTGACTGGCCCCAAGTGAATTGCTGTTTGACCTCTTGACACCTGGGAGGTGGCTGGGCCTGGGGCTGATGGGCTCGGCTGGGGGCTGGACTTGCATCAGAAGAAGGCGTCTGTCCCTGAGTCACTCATGCTGCCACCTGAGGGGCGGGCATCGGGAACTGGAAAAACCGGGGTGTAGCCCTAGGTGCAGCCACTGTGCCCCAGTTCCCCTGCTCAGAGTGGCCCGGGCCTGCTAAGGCACCTGGGCCCAGAGGAGCCCTCCACAGGTGTGCCAAAGTCAGGCTCTTGTGCCCGCCAGGTGGGCATCCTGGTCATGGGGTTTTCCTAAGCGCCGAAACGCTGCTCCCTTCCGTGGCCCTGGAGCGGGTGTTTAATGTGCACTTGGCAGGTTTGCCCTGCGCTCCCCACTCACTCACTCACTCACCTGTCCGTCCATGCGCTCCACAGACGTTGGCTGGGCACCTGCCTACTTCGTGCCTGACCTGTGCTGGGACACAGCTAAGTCGGACTCCTGTCCTGCTCCCCAGGAGCTGCCAGCCGCATGTGTGCACAAAGCATTTCAAATGGAGCCTGAAAGCCAGGCTGTGAATTCCCCTGGAGCTGAACGGTGTTTATCTGTCTCTCCGTCCTGTCCCAGCACCCAGCGTGGTGCCAGACACGTAGGAAGTGCTCATTTCTATTTGGCAAACATAAGATTGGGTAATAGGTGCCCCTATGGGGCTCAGGGGCGTCAGGAATTGGGCATTCTGGGAGGCCTGTGTAAAGGAGCTTGAGGGGTATTGAAGGATGCATAGGAGTTTCTGGTTGGCTAAGGGACAGTGGGTATTTGGTGTTTGTGGCTGTGTTTGAGTATGTGTAGCCCCTGTCCCCACTTGCCTGCCCAGAACACAGGGAAATTCAACCAGGGAAAGTCAAGAAGACACAGGAGCTTGCTGGGCTCTTATCCCTGAACTCTGGGACCCCTAAGCAGTTGCAAACTCTGGCAGGGGTGGGGAGGGGGGGCGGGGGTGGGGGGCAGCCCCCGGTGGCTCTGTGGTTGGAGGAGGGGCAGCAGAGCTGTCAGGCAAGCACTTGCCCTGTTGACGCTGCCTCTCCACTGTATTATCTGGCACATCCGCAGCGGAAATCTCTCCAAATTCCCTCTTTCCTGGCGGCAGCAGGCGGGCCACCCCCGGGCTCTGGGGCCAAAGAACCCATCTCTTCCCCCACTTCCTCCTCTTGGTGTAGGGCTGAGGGGCTTGGGAACAACCACAGGGTGGGGAGTCGGCACATTGTGGGGGTTTACAGATGGCCAAAGCCTTCAGTGCACCTGAGCCTGAGCTGCAGGGGCTGTGGCCCCCTGCCCGGCCGGGAGCCTGGGCTGGGCAGACGTGACCGCGGTTCTAGGGGCCGGACCTGCTGCCTGTGAGCACCCCAACTCTGCCAGGCCTGGACCACCTGGAGCCAGCGCTTACCCGGGGGTTAGGCCCCTCGGCAAGTCAGGGCATCTGGGGGAATTGCAACCCCAGGATGAGCCTGGACCAGCTTTCCAAAGCCTCATTTTTACTTGGAGATTTGGGGGCGGAGAGAGCTATTTTTGTACCATAGCAGATATGTTATGGGGAGGAATGCAAAATACACACGGATTCTTAAACATAATGGGAGATTTGAAAGACATCCAGGGCTTGAAGGAGACCACCCAACCCCCTGGGCTGGAGTCTTCGCTTTTCTTCTCACAGACTCCAATGTGCCCAGGTTGAGAAGATCTGTGTTAGGGGGTGGGGCAGGCATCCCGCTCCAGCTGCTCTGAAATTCGTCTTGGGATTTTCTGGCTGTTGAAGCAGGTCATTGTCTGTCTCCAGGCTTGTCTCAAAACACGGATTTCTCTTTGCTCTAAATTGAGGTGTTGCTAAGCACAGAGGTGGGAAGGGACAGAGGCTCAAAGCGAAGCATCTTCAGTCTAAGTTTTGGTGTCCTGGCTTAGTGGCTCGGACACCCTGGGTGAGTTGCTTTGCCTCTGAGCAACTCTGAGCGTCTGTTTCTCCGCCTCCACAGCGGAATGGCTGTTCATAGCCCGCGCAGGACTGGTTTGCTGTGGGGACTAAATGAATGTCAAGTGGTTGGCCTGGGTCCTGCACACAGCAGGTGCTTATCAGAGGTCACTATCACCTAGGGCTCCAGGCTCTGCACAGAGCAGGTGTCGGTCCCTCCTCTGTCCCGCTGCGTGGACCTGGACGTGTCCTCCTCCTTCTGCCGTGGCGTGTGCCCGAGCTTCCAGGGCCTGTGCGGAGGGTCTGGTGCAGCAGCAGGGGCCCAGGGGGTGAGAGAGGCCGTTTGTGTGGCCCTGGGGTCAAGGCGGGGAGGGGACAGGCACGCGGCCTGACTCCGTGAGCAGAGTCGTGAACAGGAAGTCGCTGTCCAGGACCTTACAGAGCTGGTGTCCTTTGAGCCCTTGTCCCCCTGACTGCCAGTCCCTTTCCCCGCCTCTGCTCACGCAGGCCTGGACAAAGAGGGTCTTGGCGCCAGACCCCAGTCCTGAGGGTTAGCAGGCCTGGCTTGGGTCAGAGGTTTGCTAGGGCCAGAGCGCTTGGAACTGGCTTCCCTGGAGGGGGTTGTCCTCAGACCACCAGGGGCCAGCTTGGCCTGGCTCTTCCAGGCAGCCTTTGTCCAAGAATTTTTCCTGACAGTGCAGATCTGACTTTGTCATTGTTTCCTACATCAGACCTTCAGTGGCTCTCCATTGCCCCCCTCCCTCCCCCGATAAAGTCTCATCTTCTTGGCCGGGCATTTGAGACCTTTCTCGATTGCCTTGTTGCCTGCTGTTCCCCCACATTTGTGCCCACAAAGCCACTAACACTTTCTGTATTAGTCATGCGCTTTTTCACTCCTAACTCTCTCTCCCAGTATTTCTGCCCTGCTGGACTCCTACATAGCCTCTAAACCCCAGCTGAAATGTCCTCTCTATGACTCCTCAGACTGCTGAGGAGGTCGTTGTTGTTGGGGAAGGTTGTTTCCCCTTCTCCACCGCTTTTCTCTTTCCCACCCCTTCATTGTAGACCTGGTCAGATGCTCGGCTCCCTCACCTTTGTCTGTGGCCTTTGTATTCGTGTCGGCGCAGGCCCAGCACGGGGCCAGGCACAGGGTAGAGGGTCAGTGAGTGAGTGATGAGCGTGGCACTGAGGTAGGAGGTGTCTCAGGACCCTCTCCCCAGAATTAGCCAAAGGGGGTAGCGGCAGGTTGTAGGGGGAGGTCCACAGGTGACCCCAACCCACCACCCCGGCCACTTCAGTAGCTTGCCGAGCCCAGGACAGCCCTGCACAGTGGGGCTGTGTCTGGGCAGCTTCCTGCCTGTGGGTCCAGGAAGGGGCCTGGGGCAGAGGCAGGATAGGGTGGTGGGAGGAAGAGTGCCCCCCACCGGACACCCACCGGAGTCAGGTGCCTGAGCTGCAGCCGGCCAGGACGGGCCCGGCCACGGGGGGAGGAAGAGCCACATCCTGGCTGCCCTTGTGAGTGGCGGAAATGACTCGGCCCTGGAAGCAGAGCCAGAGAAAACGCTGGGGGCCTGGCCTTTCCTGCTTTCTGGCCGGCCAGCCCCGGAACGGGAAGGCGGGCAGGTCCTCGGGTTGCTGGGGGTCAGGGGGGCACCCGCAGGGGTGGCACCCTGGGCTGGTGAGGCCGGCCAGGAACCGGGGTGGTGGTGACAGTCCCCAGACAAACACGGTCGGGGAGATGCGGCCTTGGCCCTGGGCAGCTCACACCGCCCAGGCGGGGACCCGACCGTCTGGTCTGCGCAGATTCGAGGCGATAAGGAGGGCGGGTGGCGCGCTCAGTGCTGAGCCAGCCTGCGATAGGGTTCTTGGGAAGCTGGCAGGCGGGACGTGGCCTTGAACGCCAGGCGCAGGGGCGTGGGGCGTCGTGCGAGAGCAGCGGGAGTGGCGTGAGGCGTGTAGCGTGAGGGCGAGGTACTTCCCGGGCGCCCGGTGCACGCCGCCACTTGCCACGCATTTCCTCCGCACAAGACATTTCGCTGTTGAGAAAACAGGTGCACGGGGGCTTATCGACTTGCAGGGCCGGGGGCGCCCCGCCGGGGCGTGGCATAGTCCCTCGGGGAGGGAGCACGTTGAACCGACGTCCCCGTGTCCTGTCTGTCCCTCCAGCCTGCTCGCCTGGGTTCTTTAAGTTCGAGGCGTCTGAGAGCCCCTGCCTGGAGTGCCCCGCCCACACGCTGCCATCCCCCGAGGGTGCCACCTCCTGCGAGTGTGAGGAAGGCCACTTCCGGGCACCTCAGGACCTGCTGTCCATGCCCTGCACGCGTGAGTCTTGCCCTGGGTCAGGGAGGGGTGGCCGAGGGTGACATGTCCAGGGCCACCTGGGTCCCGTGGAGCACTGACCTCTCCCCTCTGTGCAGGCCCTCCCTCTGCCCCGCACTACCTCACGGCCGTGGGCATGGGCGCCAAAGTGGAGCTACGCTGGAAACCCCCCGAGGACGATGGGGGCCGCGAAGACATCATCTACAGCGTCACCTGCGAACAGTGCTGGCCTGAGTCGGGGGAGTGCGGGCCCTGTGAGGCCAGCATGCGCTACTCCGAGCCACCCCACGCCCTGACCCGCACCAGCGTGACCGTCAGCGACCTGGAGCCGCACATGAACTACACCTTCACCGTTGAGGCCCGCAACGGCGTCTCGGGCCTGGTGACGAGCCGCAGCTTCCGCTCCGCCAGCGTCAGCATCAACCAGACAGGTGAGGCCGGGCTGGCGTCTGCCCCGTGTGGCCCGCCCAGGGAGGATGTACAGAGGACAGCCACCCAGGGCTCCGCTGTGTTCAGAGATTGGCAGCAGAGCACATGGGTAAAAGTGTAGCCTCTGGGCTGGGCACGGGTGGCTCTCGCCTGTAATCCTAGCACTGGGGGGGCTGAGGCGGGAGGCTTGCTTGAGCCCAGAAGTTTGAGACCAGCCTGAGCAAGGAGGAGACCCGGTCTCTACTAAAAATAGAAAGAAATTAGCCAGGCATGATGGTGGCGCCTATAGTCCCAGCTACTGGGGAGGCTGAAGCAGGAGGATCGCTTGAGCCCAGGAGTTTGAGGTTGCTGTGGGCTATCATGATGCCACTGCACTCTAGCTGGGGTGACAGAGCATGACTCTCTGGGACCACTTCTGAACACTGACTGTGGTCACAAGTTACTTAACCTCTCCGGGCCTTGGTTTACCCCCCTATAAAGTGGGGGCAATAATCGAGAAGATGTGAAGTATTAAATATCAGGCTCTTAGAACAGGGCCTGGCCCATAGAAAGGCTTCGGCAAGCGTCAGCTATCGTCTTATTTTCATTACTGACGCGACTGTGAACACTCGCGGGCGCTGCTGGTGCTCCAGCCACTGCGGTGGGGCCGGGGCGAGGTCCTGGGGCTCTGCGCTCTGGAGCTGGAGGTTCAGGGTCCCACGCTGGGGTCTGCAGAGCCGGGGCTGCGAGGGGACCGGCTCTGGGCCTGCTTGTCACGTGCTCCCCCACGTGCTGTCCTGCCCAGAGCCCCCCAAGGTGAGGCTGGAGGACCGCAGCACCACCTCGCTGAGCATCGCCTGGAGCATCCCGCCCCTGCAGCAGAGCCGCGTGTGGAAGTACGAGGTCACCTACCGCAAGAAGGTAGCCCCCAGAGGGCCAGGGCTTGGGGCGGGCTGGGCACCACACAGCCGCCTGAACTCACTGCCTTCTGCAGAGGGGGAAGCTGAGGCCTGGGGTCTCCCAGAGAGATACAGCCTGGCGGAGTTTAGCAGGAAAGAAGACACTGGGTTCCGGAACCCCGGAAGGCACAGTCAGGGTGGGGACAAGAGCAGGGTCTGTGGTTTGAGTCCTGGGTCATCATGCATTTATGCATTTGCCGGTTCTGCCCTCGGGTGAGTCACTTCAGCTCTGAGCCTCAGTTTCCTCCTCCGTAAGGAGAGCCTCCAGTTTGCCAACTTAGGCGAGCCGTCCTGCTAGCTGGGGTGGCCGAGCCGAGGCCCCGCCAGCTCTCCTCATTGCCTGCTCCTCTGCCCCCGCCACCCGCAGGGGGACTCCAACAGCTACAACGTGCGCCGCACTGAGGGCTTCTCCGTGACCCTGGATGACCTGGCTCCGGACACCACTTACCTGGTGCAGGTCCAGGCGCTGACACAGGAGGGCCAGGGGGCCGGCAGCAAGGTGCACGAGTTCCAGACGCTGTGTGAGTCCGGGGACGGGGCCCTTTTAGAAACTGAGCAGTTGACATCCTGGGAGGAGGAAGTGGATTAGAGGACTTAGAAATGTGTGGGCTGGATCTCGGGCTGAGGGCGCAGGAGCGGTGACATGGATTCACGGCAGTGTCACATGGAGGAAGGATGTGGACTTTGGCACCAGGAGACCCAAGTTCAAATCCCTGTCACATAAAGGGCCAGCACTTGGAGTCCCATGCACCTGGGAACACCTGCTGGGAGACCTGGGCAGGTCTCGCCGTCCAGCTGTGCAGTGGGAATACATGTCCTTGGGAACCTTCACAAGCGCAAGCGCCCAGCGCATAGTCGGGACCCAGGTTGCCCCTAAGGTGGGCCTTGGGTGCAGTGGGGTGTTGCTGTGATTTTGGGGGGCTCCCTTGTCATCCGCTGGTCTCCCCCACAGCCCAGGAAGGATCTGGCAACGTGGCGGTGATCGGCGGGGTGGCCGCCTGTGTCGTCTTGCTTCTGGTGCTGGCTGGAATCGGCGCCTTCCTCCACCGCAGGTGCGTCAGAGCCTCATCGGGCTCCAGAGGGCAGACGTGGGATGCAGAAGCGCAGGAACCTCAGTTTCCCCGTCTGCACAGTGGGCTGCCAGTGATCTAGTCCTCTAGATCTGGTCCCCTCTGTCTGGTCTGGTCCCTGTCTCTGGGCAGTGGGAAGATACAATGAGAGTCTAGCGCCATGCCTGGCACGCGGTGGGGGCTCGGGACGTGGTTGTCATTGTCTCTGCCCTTGTCATTAGCGGCGTGGCCACACTTCCTCTGGACGTGCAGGCAGGAAGCGCTCAGGACAGCTCCTTAAGGGGCTGTTTGGGGCACGGACCCCCAGGAGTGAGCCCTCGCTTGCTCACTTCCTCGCTGCCTCTGCCCCACCGTCCCCGCTCCCTCTGCCCTGGTGGTGGTGCTGAGCTTGCCAGCCACCCTCAGGGCCAGAGTAGGCCCAGGGCTCCCTACGCCAGAGCGGGCCTGGCTGACCGCCCTGTGTGTTGTCTCCCCATGGGGTTCTTGCAGGAGGAAGAAGCTACGAGCCCGCCAGTCCTCAGAGGACGTTTACTTCTCCAAGTCAGGTAAGACACAGCACCTGCTCCCTGCAGGCCCTGCTCCCCCAGGGCCTCCCTAGCTGTGGTGGAGGTGGGGGCTGCCCAGGCATTCCCGGGGTGCTGGGGGTGGGCCCGGAGGCTTCCATAGGCAGCTCTAAGGGGCTGAGCCAGAGGGTCTGTGCCCTGCTGCCTGGTCCCTGAGGTCCCTAGTCGTGTGACCTCCTCCTTCCCTAGGGCAACCCCTCACAGGGGCCCCTTCTTGGGTTTTTTTTGCCCCCCCTTTTCCTTTTTTTGGACCACTTAAGGCCCTTGAGGCCTTCTTTGGCCCCCCCCCCTTTTGGGGCCCCCACCCGGGTTTTGTTCAGTTTTCCCCCGGGGTTCCTTCGTTCTTTTTTCCTTGGGCGGAGGTTGTTGGGGGCGGTTGGGGTTGGGGCCCTTGTTGGGGGGGGCGGTTGTTGGGCCGACCGGTTGGGGTTGCGGGGGCCGGGGTTGCTTGGGTTCCCCTCCCCGACTTGGCCTGCCCGCAGGAGAGTTCGGAGAGGTGTACAAGGGTACGCTGAAGACGTCCTCGGGGAAGAAGGACATCCCCGTGGCCATCAAGACGCTGAAAGCCGGCTACACGGAGAAGCAGCGGGTGGACTTCCTCAGCGAGGCGAGCATCATGGGACAGTTCAGCCACCACAACATCATCCGCCTGGAGGGTGTCGTCTCCAAATGTGAGCCCTGGGAGACCCTCGGGCCTGACCACAGGGGTGGAGAGGGGCTGCCCGCCCGGCCACCTAGCGGGGCTCTGTCCGTGGCTGTGCCCCCGTCTCCCGCACACCTGGGCCTGCCTCCCTCTCACCTGTCCTCCCCCCGCAGACAAGCCCATGATGATCATCACGGAATACATGGAGAACGGGGCCCTGGACAAGTTCCTTCGGGTGAGGACGCGGGCCGTGGTGGGCAGGAGTGTGGGGGTGCGGTGGTGCGGGCTGGCACGCCTGGGGGTGCCCCGGCGGGCGCGGGCCGGCTGGCGGCTGAGGCTCTGTGCCTGGCAGGAGAAGGACGGCGAGTTCAGCGTGCTGCAGCTGGTGGGCATGCTGCGGGGCATCGCGGCCGGCATGAAGTACCTGGCCAACATGAACTACGTGCACCGCGACCTGGCCGCCCGCAACATCCTCGTCAACAGCAACCTGGTCTGCAAGGTGTCTGACTTCGGCCTGTCCCGTGTACTGGAGGACGACCCTGAGGCCACCTACACCACCAGCGTGAGTTGAGGAGGGGCTGTCAGCGCCGAGGGTGGGGGCTCGAGGGGAAGCAGCCTTCACCCAGCCCAGGGTGCTCTCACCTGCACACCTGGGCGTGGACCTGTAGGAGCACGGGGAGGGGCCCTGCGGCCTGGCTGTGACGGTGCTGGGGCCGGCCGGAGGGGACAGTGGTGACTGGGCCCGGGTCCCCTGCAGGGCGGCAAGATCCCGATCCGCTGGACAGCCCCGGAGGCCATTTCCTACCGCAAGTTCACCTCGGCCAGCGACGTGTGGAGCTACGGCATTGTCATGTGGGAGGTGATGACGTACGGCGAGCGGCCCTACTGGGAGCTGTCGAACCACGAGGTGGGTCCCCTTGCCCTACCCGGGCCTGCCTGGGCCTGAGCTTAAACCCTTTACTCATTCCCAAACCCAGGCCTGGGCAGACAGGTTTCAAGGTCTAATCTTCATCTGGTAGGGACCGTTCTCAGGTTCATTCAGTAAATGTTTGTTGAGGACCTACTACGTGCCGGGCCTTGTTCTGGGGCCCAGGCCCCAGTCCCTGCTTACAGCCTAGAGAGTGCAAAGGCATGGAAACAAGGAGTGGGGTGTGCATGTGTGTCCGTGTGTACATGTGTGCACGTGTGTGTGTGTGTGTGTATGTGTACATCTATGTGCATGTGTATTTGTGTCTGTGAGCCTGGTGCCTCAGCCAGCCTAGTGGCCTGGGAGGCTTACCTGGGGAGGTCACCTCTCTGCTGAGACCAAGGATACAATAAGGTGCCCAGCTGCAGGCGAAGAGAAGGAAGGGGCAGAGTGTGGCTGTCACCTGGGTGCCCCGTAAAGAGTCCCTTCCTCCACGGAACTCTGGGGACAGCCCCTGCGCACTTGCCCTTTGGGCAGCCCTGTGGGTTGTGTGTCAGGCTCAAGGAAGGCCCATCCTGTCTGCTTCTGGGATGTTTCTGTTTCCCTTCCCTCCCCTGCCACCTCCATGGGCTGGGCCCCCAGGGGCCTGGCTGCCTGAGGTCTCGGTGGCCTCCCGCCATGGCAGCCCTGACCTGATCGTGCCCCCCAGGTGATGAAAGCCATCAACGAGGGCTTCCGGCTCCCCACGCCCATGGACTGCCCCTCCGCCATCTACCAGCTCATGATGCAGTGCTGGCAGCAGGAGCGCGCCCGCCGCCCCAAGTTCGCCGACATCGTCAGCATCCTGGACAAGCTCATCCGCGCCCCCGAATCCCTCAAGACCCTGGCGGACTTCGACCCTCGGTGAGTTCTGCGCCCTGTGCCCTCAGTGACCCCCAGCTTCCCCCCCGCCCCCCGACTCCTGAGCCACATGGTAGAGTGGCCAGCCAGGGGCAACGGGGGGTGGCGCTCAGAGGTCGCACGTGAGCTGTGCTCGGACCATACAGGCTTCGGGAATCCTAACGTTCTTGAAGTGGCCAGCGTGTGTGGTCAGTGCGCGGGCACCGCGCCCCACACTTGACATGTTTTAGCTCACGTGAATAACCTATGAGAGGGGGCCTGCAACTACCCCCTTTTTGTGGGCAAGGAAACCGAGACATAGGCTGGTTCCTTCTCACGTGGCTGGCAAGTGGCCGGGCTGGGATGTGACCCCAGGACCCCGAGGGTCTGCTGGTAGCATCTCGTGCTTTGGTGGTGGTTGGTGGTGGTCTTCTCAGCAGGTACGGAGGGTGGCAGGAGTTGCAGCCACCGAGTGCTCCCGACCTGCCAGCCTGTCTCACTGGGCCCGGCCTGACTAGGCCTCCCTGTTGCCCACAAGAAGAAACTGAGGCACAGGGCAGCCGAGAGCATTGCCAGAACAGGGAGCAGCAGGCTCGGGGCGCAGGGGGCCGGGGGCTGCCGCCCTTCACCTGGTTCCTGTTGCAGGGTGTCCATCCGGCTGCCCAGCACCAGCGGCTCGGAGGGGGTGCCCTTCCGCACGGTGTCCGAGTGGCTGGAGTCCATCAAGATGCAGCAGTACACGGAGCACTTCATGGCGGCCGGCTACACGGCCATCGAGAAGGTGGTGCAGATGACCAACGAGTGAGTCAGACCCCAGCCCGGCCGCCCAGAGCTCCCCTCTTTGCTCTTTCTCTCTTTCTCTTCTGGGGAGAGGGGGCCCCCGGGAAGGGAAGGGCAGAGCCAGGCTGGCAGCAGCAGTTCCGTGCGCTCCCTCCCTTCCTGCGTGCCTTTCCAGAGTGGGAAATAATAGTGATTGTAACCGTGGCAGGAGATACCGTTTGTCCAGGGCCAACCCCGTGCTCGAGCACGTTGAATCCGTCCTCGTGAGAACCCGGCAGGCCAGGTCCTGTCGTGTCCCCGCTGGCCAGGTGAGAAACAGGTGCAGAGCAGCGCAGGGACCTGCCCAGGGTCCCGTAGCCGCTGCGGGCAGAGGAGGATCCCAGCTCTGGTCAGTCAGGGTCCAGAGCCAGAGTGCAGGGGACGTTGAGGTTGTCAGTGCAGAAACTGAGGCCGAGGGGTGACCTGGTGTGGCTGAGGTCACACGGCCGGGAGGAGCAGCATTCCTCTCCAGGAGGCCCAGGAGAGAGTCCACAGCCAGCCCCTCCCAGGCACCTCTCTCCCTGGGGTTGACCCTCGGCCCTGCAAGAAGTCCCGCTTGCCCCCTGGTTTGTCCTGGGCTTGGCCCTTTGTCAGGCCGCCCCGTGGGAGCTCGTCCGTCCCTCCCAGCTCCAGCGTGGATGGGGACCTTTCCCGGCACAGCCTTGGCAGAGACACCTCCTCTTGTCCCAAGAAGGAGAAGACATTGTCCTCTTAGCCTTTTGTCCCTCTAAAAATAGCGGTGGATCCCAATAGCCCAGCTCGTGCAGGGTCCAGGGTCCAAGGTCGTGGCAGGACCAGACTGGAAGGTTTTGGGAACCACATGTGTGGAGGGGACAAGCTGGGCCCTCCCCCGGTTCTGGGTCACAGAAGTTCTGGGATCTGGGCCTGTGCGTGGACGTTCTCTGGGGCCTCTGGAAGCTGCTCAGCTGGGCTTCTGACCTGTGGGCCAAGGCCACGGCCCCCTCGGGACAGCAGCGATGGGAATCGGAGGCACGAGGTGGGGCGGGAGACGGGTCCCAGATCTCTCTTGCTGCCTGTCCGTGGCAGGGTCAAGCTTGGGCACTGCATTCACACCTGGGTTCAGGTCCCACATCTGCCACTTCCTAGCAGGTGACATTGATCACATTAGGTCCAACTTTGAGCCTTGGTTTCCGTTTCCTGTTGCAGGGATGGCATTGGGTGCAATGCAGTTAACACAGCTGGTATGCAGTAGGGGCTTAAGCCGCACTGCTCCCCTCTTTTCCTGCACTCCCTTGCTTTCCTCCCATGGCTCACGGGCACATCCTGGAGTTCCCTTGCTCCCTCCTTTTCCCTGGGAGCCTGGACCAGCCCCGTTGCCCCTCCAGGGGCTCCCCCCAAGGAAGACAGGGCTTCTCTTCTGGTGGCCGGAGCGGAGGGCAGGGAGAAGCGCTTATAGGAAACACATGTTCTCAGAGGCTCCCGAAATAGCCCGGGGTGCTCCTGGCCAATTCCTTTCCCACGAGCAGGGACAGGGCTGCTGGGATGGACGGAGGCTGTGTGTGTGCTGGAGTGTGTGTTGTTTTGAAAGGGCCTGGATAAAGGCAGGAAGTCATTCGGGGCTCCCTCCTCCTCCCACTGGCCCACTGGCGTGACTCACACCACCACTGCCTCCTCCTTCCCCTCCGACTCTTTCCAGATAAGTGGGATCTCAACGCAATTTTTTAAACCTTCACCCTGTGCCTGCACATGCCATGGATCCCAACGGCGGGCTCGGAGCTGGTCGCAGGAGAATCCACCCCTTTCCCGAGGGGATCAGGATTTAGGCCTCCGTGTCCCACCCCCGCCCCTTCCTGGCCTCTTTGACCCCTCCCAAGGGACTAGCGCCATGCTTCCCTGGGGCCCCACAGCCACTGTCTCTCTGCCTGAGCGCTCGCCATGCTATCTTGGAGTCATTTGGATTTCTAGAAACACTAGAAGACTAGTGGTTGGAAATATTTTTTGAGGGGCTAATGAAAGGGTGGATGTCACACCCCAGAAAAACGCCCAGCACAACACCGGGCCCTGTCCGGTGTCAGGACGACAGCGTCCCGTGTGGGGTCAAGGGCACAGGATGATGGGCCCTGTGGTCTCACATGCCAGCGCAGGCTTGGAGCTGGAAGGTGGTTTGCTGGGTGAACCACTGATCCGACACTCGAGGCTCCGGAGCCCTTTCTCACCCCCCTCCCTGCACGCAGGGCCGGTGCCCACAGTAGGTGCCCACTGGGCGCGTGGACTTCTGGGGCCAGGGCTGGCACTGTGAGTGCAGAAGGACCAGACGGAGCAAAGGTGGCTTTGGTGTTGTGTTCCCACTCCTGTGAGGGGATGTGATGAGGCTGACTGCCCTGTATCCCTGAGGGGAAACTGAGACTGGGGCCAGAACAAGCTTGGGACGATCTGCAGTAGGCCACAGGCCCTGCTGGGCTGGGACCCTCATCCCAGCGTGCTGCTGTTAGCGCTTAAGAAGGAAAGGGAAGGTTTGGGAGGGGGTTGTGCTAAAAGAGGAGGGAGCATGGAATGGAAGCCTCCTGTTTACACATAAAGAAACTGAGGCACAGAGACAGGACCTGACCACCCAAGCTTTGATGCGAGGTCAGGACTAGAATTCAGCCTCCTCCCACCCACCCCAGGACTTTGGCTTCATAAGCAAACTGGCCTCAGAAGCAAACCCAGCTTCCACCCCATGAGATTAACTGCTCTGCTCTGTGACAGGAGTCTCATGATGGCTCAGTCCCCGCCGTGGCATTCATTCCCTCATTCATTCATTCAGCAGACTCTCCCCAAGAACCTGCTGTGTGCAGGCCTATCCTGGTCCCTGGGATGGGGGAGGGGCCAGGTACTGAGGTCTCAGCGCTTGTCCTGGGGCTCACATAACCCACTGGTTCTTTTTTTTTTTTTTTTTTTGAGACAGAGTTTCACTCTGTTGCCCGGGCTAGAGTGCCATGGTGTCAGCCTAGCTCACAGCAACCTCAGACTCCTGGGCTCAAGCGATCCTCCTGCCTCAGCCTCCCGAGTAGCTGGGACTACAGGCATGCGCCACCATGCCCGACTAACTTTTTTCTATGTATTTTTAGTTGGCCAATTAATTTCTTTCTATTTTTAGTAGAGACAGGGTCTTGCTCAGGCTGGTTTTGAACTCCTGACCTTGAGCAATCCACCCACCTCGGCCTCCCAGAGTGCCAGGATTACAGGCGTGAGCCACCCGCGCCTGGCCATAACCCACTGGTTCTTAAACCCAAAGTCACCATAACCCACTGGTTCTTAAACCCAAAGTCAGGGTCTCGTGGGACCCAATCATATGCAGACACCCCGCCTTGGGAACATCCAGTTTAGCGGGTCTGGGGTTGAGCTGGGATCCCGCCCTTTCAGTAAGTGCCCCCGGCCTTGGCGGCCTGAGTGTCCGTCCAGATTTGCAACTCTGGGTGTGGGGGCCACACTGCTGCTCTTTCAACACCCCCCCCCCCGTGTAGTTAGAAAGGCCACTCGGGTGGTAGCTTAGGCAGTTCTCCCACGTGTCCAGCTCCTGGCTCTCCTGCTGCCGTGGGAGCGGCCAGCCCCTCCCGGGGGTCCGGAGCCGCCCCCGCTCCCCGCTCCCCTGGGCCTGCCCTTCCCCCTTGGCGGTTCCCTGCTGCCAGGGGCTCCCGGAGCCTGTGGGAAAGTCACGTCTCCAGCATTGCACATGGAGCTGGCACCGTATAATTAGCTCCACTTACAGCCAAGAGACGGCCCATAAAAACCGGGGTGTTTTCATGGGTCTGGGCTGGAGGGTGAGGATGGTGGAGGAGGAAAACTCCCAAGGTGAGCAGTAAATGCCCTGCTCGTGGGTTCCTGGGAGCAGAAGTGGTTTTATGAGGGGCTGGAGGGGTCTGGGGAGGGAGGGCCTGGGGGGCGGGGGCTGCACCTCGAGGGGTGGGAGAGGAGGGGTGGGAGAGGAGGGCTGCGGGCCGCCGGCTCGTCTCTGTCTGGTACCAATGATGCTGCCTTCCCCCTCGGCTGCCGGTCTCTGAGGCCTCCCAGCCTCCACTGGCTTTGCCGTCTCGTTTTACCTGTGGGGAAATTGAGGTTCCCATAAGGGGAGACACCTGCCTCAGGTGACCGTGCCTGGAGCAAGCTCCTCCCGTTAGAGATTTGCGGAGTGTTAGTCCTCGACCGGGTCCCTCCCCAGTTACCCGCCCTGGGAGCTTGGAGGGAGCGAGGGAGAAACAAGGCAAGGATGAGAAGAGGGCCTGGGCCGAGGGGCTTGGAGGATGCCCCTAGAGGGTTCCCGGATTGCGTGGGGAGGAGGCCTTGGCTGGGGGGGCATGAGGGACGGACTAGGGCTGGGGCAAGGGGAGGCACTTGTTCACAGCTGGTTTGATTCCCAGCTCTTCCACCTCCTGGCTGTGTGACCTTGGGCAAATCACTTTACCTCTCTGAGCCTCAGTTCTCTAATGTGCAAAATGGGGGTAGAAAGAGCACCTGCCTCACAGATAATTGCAAAGATTTTAGAACCCCCAAAAGCTTCTCACAGACTCAGGGCTTCTGTCATTTTCCTGCCTCTGTCGATGGCACACCGGCTTAGCATGGGGCTCCCCTCCCTCGCCC